TTTGCAGAATACTGATAATAGTTGTTTGCTTAGTTGGTTGGTTGGTTTACAAAATCAGATCACTTCTTGGTCACAAGTTTCCCTTGTGACCAAGGCAAATGGTTTGTAGGTACAACCATTTACAGCACTGCAGTACTCAGGACAAACCTGAGCATAAGCCTTGATTTCTCCTTTCCACACGGTATTCATGAATAAGACCTGTCAGTTCATTACCAAAATATATCCGAGTCTTACAGATCTTTACCATCTCCTTTCCCACAGCTTTGCTCCAAGCCATCATCATTTCTTACCTGGAATAGTACCACCATATTCTTTCCTGAACTATATTCAGAGCCTCCTAATTGGTCTACCTGCCTTCATTATTACTTCCCTAAAATTGGTTCTCCATACATTTGCCAGATAAACTTCTCTAGGGTGTACATCAGATCATAACATCCCCATTTTAAAACTTCTCCAATGGCTTCTACTTAGAATTGAATGTAAATTTCTAACCACATTATCCAATGGCCCACTTAATCTGACCCGTGAGTAACTTCTAGCTTGTCTCTCTCCTCTTTATTCACATGGTATGGTGACATTTACCCACTTTCTGTCACTCAAACATGACAAAGAAACTTTTTCTTGCGTAGGAACTTTGTTCTTGTAATTTGAGCTTGAAATGCTTTTCTTTCAGAGCTTCCCCTTCAAGTCCTCAGAAGTCTTCCCTGACCACCGTGGATAATGAACATCCTGTGATTTCAAATTCTCTGTAGCCCATACCGGGTGCAGGACGCATTTGTTACCTGCACTTTCCAACTAGAATGAGTTATGAGTTATCTACAATAGTACCTGCCTTAATATATATTTATTGACTGACTAACTGCTGGACTAATGCCATCTCAGTGACAGTCTGCCTTGCTGTCTAGGCGGCTAGATCCTTTTCCTGTGGTAAGAATTGTGCCGTGTCTTGTAGCTCTCCACGCACATCACAGCCTTTTCTTATGCTTGACTGTGAGCCCCTTGGAAGCAGATACCACACTTGTATCACCACTGCCTCTCAGAGAACACGGCACAGATGAGTGCATGTGTTTTCTCTTTAATCCTGTAATCACTTCTCTTTCATTCTTTTTCTAATGAAATTGCTTGTTAGTTATAGGAAACTTAAATTCCTATTAGAGCCTTTTAAAACTGAGATTGGGGAATTGATGAGGCCTATAATTGGTAAAAGAAACTCTGACCTAAGGTACTTGCCTAATGAAATAATATGGTAGGAAGGCAGTGGGAATAGTTTCACTTAATAGAGGAGATGAAGATTTGATGCTCCTGGTGTCAGTTTATTAGGCAGGAAAGCCAATGCGATTAATTCACTGAAAAAAATGATCTGTCAGAAAAGTTCGTCTTCTCTGTAAGCTGAGAGACTGGCTTACGTCTTCTCACAAATTACAGCCCTTTTACTTATATTAACATGCTTAAATGTTTATCTTTATTCTAAAATTTTAGATAATATAACTTAATATTATACATGGAACATTGGTATTGGACCAAAGTTGCTGGCTTTACATCCAACCAAGGGAATACTTCAGGTTCTTTGGCAAACTCTTGTGACTAAGAAGTGATCTGATTTTGTAAACCAACCAACCGACTAAGAAAACAACTGTTATTAGTATTCTGCAAGGATAACTCAGTCAGTTTTTAATGTAATTTTTTTTTGACGCCACACATCATACCAGAATTTGAAGGCTGAGCTCAAAGAGCTAAAATAATGAAGTTGGTCTTCAATGACTTCCCATTTTCTATGAGCCTCTCTCTCACTTGAAGAAAAACAGATTTGTCAACGAGTAATAATACTCAATGTGTGGGTCCAAAGGTATTTGCACTTTTACTTTTATGATTTTATTTTTTATTTTTCTGAGACAGGGTCTCACTCTGTTGTGCAGGCTGGAGCACAGTGGTGGGATCTCAGCTCACTGCCACCTCTGTCTTCCTGGCTTAAGCAATCCTCCCACCTCAGCCTCCTGAGTAGCTGAGATTACAGGGGTGCACCACTACACCTGGCTAATTTTTGTATTTTAGTAGAGATGGGGTTTTACCATGTTGGCTAAGTTGGTCTTGAACTCCTGACCTCAGGTGATCCACCTGCCTCGGCCTCCCAAAATGCTGGGATTACAGGCGTGAGCCACCACACCTGGCTGGTATTTGCACTTTTAAAATAAAAATTTCTGAAAAGAACAATCACTTAAGAGTAATCATCCATAGGGGAATTTCAGACATAATGTTAATTCACATCATATCATTAAACACCCATGTGCCATGTTCTTAATGTCTACTCTAACGATGATATAGTAAACTAGCAGAGTTAAAAAATGGTTGCATGTAGCTTAGTTATAGTTGACTAAAATATCGCAGGTGTACTTATTAAGGTCTGGTTTCACTTTGGGATCCAGAAAAATCCTGCAAAGTGCCTTGCAGAGCATTATGGGGACCTCTCTGTGCCTTTCTCACCTCGCTTTCGCTGAGTTCACAATGGACACGAGTAGAGCAGCTGCAGAGAGCGTGCACTAGGTAGATCCTTCAAAGCCAACAGGTTCAAAATGAGCTCATTGACTCTGTCTCAAAAAAAAAAAAAAATGAGCTCATTATTTTCTTCTCCTTTCTTTAAGATGCATGTTCCTTATTTATTTCCCGTTTGGTTGACAGCATTGCTAAACAAGCAACCACTTAAGACAGAAACCTGGGGTCATCTCAGAAACATGATTCTTTCTTAATTTCCATGTATATCCAGTCATCAAAACCTATAAATTTGACCTCTTCACTACCACTCTTCCAGATGAGTTCAGATCTTCACAACATTTGCCTTGGATTATTGTAATAGTATACCATCTGATCCTTTCTGTATCCGGTATAGTTTTCCACAAATCTATCCTCCATACTTCCAGCAAGTTCCTAAAAACAAATCCTTTCCTTATTCCCTTTTGCCCGTAGAATTAATCCCAAACTAAGGCAAATGTAGCTGTTTATCCTTTATGACCACAGCTTGACCTCTTCACGGTACAGCTTTATTTTCTAACAGTCAGCCATGGAATTCAATGTCTTGGCCTCCTTAAGCACCCTGGCTTTTCTCTAAAAGCTCCATGTTCTTTCTTGCTTCTGTGACTTGCTTCTGTATATGTTGCTCTCAGTACTTGAAATGCACATCTCTTGCTATGTGCCAGCTTTGTTCTAACCACTTGACATGAATTACTTTATTAAATTCCTACAACAATGCTCTGAGGTAGATAATACAGCCAATGCCTTCACTGCCTTGTGTCATTGTGACTTAACTCTGATTTCAGTCATCTCCACGGCCATTCCTGAGGCCACTCCTATGTGTCTGGTAATATTGTGTTCAGATGGCACATCCTCTGGGAAATCTTTCTGACTGTTACGATCTCTGGGCAGAGTGTGTTGCTATCCACTTTGTGTAGCAATTACCCCCCAATAGATACATTTATCTTGGTGTCTACTGCTTTGACTGGCAAATGCTTCTTTGCTGCCTGTGGTAAACTGTGAAGAGACTGAGAGCAGAGTGTTTAGTATTTATTTATTCACTTAATTTATTGTCATTATTTTTGTATCACATGGTATAGTACTTAGTGTCTGGTAGGCACTCAGTAAATGTTAAAAAGAAGTGTCACAGCTAACATAATTGATCCCTTGCTATATGCGAGGTTTGTTCTAAGCACTTTACATGAATTACTTTATTAAGTCTCTACAACAATGCTTTTGAGGTAGACAATACAGCCAATGCTTCCAGTGCCCTGTGTCACTGTGACATAACTCAGATTTCAGCCATCACTATGGCAGAGAGTTTTGTGCGAGCTCAGACTTGTGCTGAGTGTCTCACTCCATGCACAAGTATCAGTCTGCCTGTTCAGGCCTTCTCTAAAGTGTAGGAAGTCACTAGATCCTTTTATGTCCTGGCACAGAAGTGAAGTGGATTTAACATTCTCAGGGCAACCCTCAACCACAGACGCACAAGAGCTGGTGGGTAAATTCTCTAGCTTCCCACCCTTTGAATGGACAGTTCTATAAGGCATTCTGTACACTCTTGGAAGTCTCAGCTGAGTCAAACTTCCATTGCTTATAGAAGCGACTTCTATAATTTACTCCTATTATAGCTCTGTCTCACTCTTGTCATTCATAACTCCTTCCAGAGACATCTCCCAAGCCAAATACCTGTGTCCGAGATCTTGTCATGTTCTATTTTTGAGAAACCCAAATAAAGATAAGTACTACTACTGTCCCCAATGTATTTGAGACAGAGGCACAGAGAGGCTAAGCTAAGTAACTTGCCTGAGACTTTACACCTGGAAAGTGAAAGAGACTGAATTTGAACTCAGATAATCTGGCTGCAGAGCCAGCCCATTCCTATCTCTCTATACTCAATGAGGTTTATAACAGACGTAGGGGTCTCAAACTGTCTAATATTACCTACCTACCCTTATCATGTTTAAAACTTGTCTTGGCTGGAAGATTAAGTTTTCATATCTCTTTCCTAGTTTGGAAGCAAGGGCATCCTGCTTCTTTAGAGTTTTCTCCCTCTTTCAAATGAATTCCCACTTTTAAGTTCCAAAGTGTTTTTTTTTTTTTTTTCCCCAGAAGAAGAACAATCTAAAAGAGTGACAAAGCAAACAGTAAAGTATTGTAACTTCCCATTTTCAAAAGCTGCATTTTTAAAATTTCACATTGGAGGGCTTTGAATAGAGGCAGTGTGAAAAGTGGAATGAGCATTTCGATTATCATTAAGGAAACCAGTGTCATCTGAATCGCTAACTAGTTTCATCACCTTGGGTGACTTTATTCCCCAATCTGGGCCTCTATTTTTCCTATTGTGTGAGATAAAGAGTTTGAGTTAAAGTGGGTGCTCTTACTTTTTTTAGAGTCATTAAGAATCTTCTGAACTCTATGTATATCATCTCTATTATTTCTCCTCCCACTCTACACATCCACAAGTACATGTGTTCTTCCTTGTGTAATTTCAGACGCTGGTGTCATCTGTGGACCCTCTGGGGTTAAAAATCCATGGACACAATTTCTAAACCCTATTCCAGTTCCAGCCTCCTATGGTCTTAGGTAAGGAAGCACACATTGATTTCATTTTGCTTTAGATTTTTTTTGCGAGAAAATACTTTATGGCTGAGCATAAAGGCTCATGGCTGTAATCCCAGTACTTTGGGAGAGAATCACTGTGGGAGGAGAATCACTTGAGGTCAGGGGTTCAAGACCAGCCTGGCCAACATGGTGAAACCCCGTCTCTACTGAAAATACGAAAATTAGCTGGACATGGTGGTGCACGGCTGTAATCCCAGCTACTTTGGAGGCTGAGGCAGGAGACTCACTTGAGGTTGCAGTGAGCCAAGATCATGCCACCATCACACTTCAGCCTGGGTGAGAGAGTGAATGAGACTTCATCTCAAAAAAAAAAAAAAAAAAAAGACCTTATGCTTTCTGCTGTGAGACTCACCATAAACGAATTATTTAATGAGTCCAGGTGATTTTTAAAATAGACATTAGTGAGAAGAAACAAACATTTATATCTTACATCTTATTCTGTTGTTATTCTATGTTTGAATATTTAATTTTGCCATAACAGTGGATATGTAAATGATTAACTGATAGGCATATCCTACAAATAATGTTTGTTGTACAATATAAATAAAATTTAAAGTAATGAGAACATGATGGATAGGTATCCTGATATTTCTATTTCTGATTCCAATGTCTGTGATTAAGATGTTTATGCAGATGTTTCACTGCTCTGGACTTTTCTATAAGTTATATTGATTCAATATCTCTATTTTCTTTAGAGAGAAAAATCTCATTAAGTGAGAATCTAATGGGCTGGAAAAATTCAACAGACCAACCTCAGCTGAAGTAATATATTTATTGAGGAAAAAATAGCACCTTGTTAGCTGGAAAATAATGATACATTGACTTACATTGTCCTGTATTTGATTAAAAAACAAACAAACAAACAAAAAAAACAGAAGCTTTTTGCTGAGTTTCTTATACAAGTTTTATGAGCTGGAATTATAGCTTATAAGAGATGATCAGAAAAATAATGCTGGATTTTAGTCCATGTTTATATAAATAAAAGAAAGATGTTGGCATACTATGCTGTTAACTGGTTTTACTGATATCTCCCTTAGAAGTAACAGAAATAATGAGGTTAACGGTGAAAATCCTTACAGTTTTCTGGATCCGTCCAAAGTCATTCTGTTTTGTTAATTTTATCTTCAAGCAAATTCTCTCTCACATGATTGTTAGGAGGACAGTGGGGAAATACACCTATTTTCAATTACAAGGACCACCTTCCACCTGTCTACTGTTTTTCCATTACAATCTTTCCTCTAAATGCAGTCAAAGTGGTTGGTCCAGTCTGAATTTCTGTGCTGTATTTGGAGAGAGTGTTTTGGTGCAGTCTACCGCTTGCTGTGTGGTAGAGGATGGAAACTAATGCTGGGTGTTGCATAATAAAGACATACTTAGGTGGTCACAACTCCTGTGTAATTTTATTTTGCAGAATTACACATCCACCCCTTCAATGCCACCCCCACCGATAAGCACCTTGTAGACCTCCTTTCCCTCACCTGTGCTTCTAGATCCATCCTTAACCTTTTAAAAGCTTCAATATCTTCATTGCCTTGGTAATCTCTAATTTGGGGTCATTCCATTATCAGCTTTTTTCACTGTCAGGTTACCAAGCTTTGTTGAGGAATGCCATTACGTTTTTTGGATTGAGGTCTGTGCAGCATCATGATCTCTCACCTCTGCTGTATCCTCACTGTGGCTTAATCTCTTATTTCTCTTACTTTCTAGGATATTTGTCAAAGCAATTCCACCAAATCTTTTTCACTTTTTTCAAACACTCTGATTGCACCATCCCCAGAGTAGATTATTTACTCTTAAGAGAATAAATCTTGTATGTCCCTAGCCTTAATGAGTTTCATGGTTCCCCTTGTCCTTTCTAACCAAGCAAACTTTTTAGCCTCATATTTAAGAGCCTCCATGGTCTAGCCTTAACCTCCGTGTTCTAGCATGTGTATCTGAGGATCTCCAGCCTGTTAAGGGTCTCTTGTTTTCAGAGTAGATCTTGATTAACATTAATGTCAGGAGGTGGGAGGGTGGGGTAGAGGATGGAAACTAATGCTGGGTGTTGCATAATAAAGAAATCCTCAGAGATTTAGGACATTATCCTCTCTCAGAAACATCCCTGGAGGAATAATGGCTGCTATGAATTCCAATATGTTCCTAGGAGAACAGTTAGTTTCTCTTTGTTCTTGTCAAAACAAGATGGTTAGGTTCACAGGGTGGGATCTCAGTATCATTAGAGCCCCAACTAAGGTTTTTTTTTTTATTTGACAGTAACTATAACATCAACACCTTCTTTGATGTCAGCCCAGTATGGTGCTGTGCCAGCTATTTTCTGACAGTTGCCTTGAATTTTTTATTATTGTATAAAGCAAGAAATGACCTTTGAGGATTTCAGTATCTGTTTGATGTATGTGTTCATTCATATACTTTTCCAACTACCATTTTAAAAGTCAAGAAATGAACCTAAGAGTTTAGTGAGAAAAGAACTTCTGTTGTTTTTGGTTTGCTTGTGAGTTTTTACTTACAAAGTACAGATTAAATGCAGTTTGTATTTCAGATGTAAATTATATATTTTTATTGCATATGCATGTGTAATCTTGTCTAACACATCAAAAAGGGGAATAAAAAATATCTTGAGGATGTGATAAAACTTTTTGGAGGAAAGAAAAATTTATACTCTCATAAATTAAGTAATAAAATTAGCATTCTGTCATAACTTTTTGAACTTGAAATAAAACATCTTAAAATGAATAAGCTCAAAGAATTTTAAAGAGCAGATTGAGCTTTTAGGCAGCATGAATGAGTATGTTGAATCATTAATTTTTTACAGAATTTCCTTTCTGTTTCAATTTTATGAGAACTTAGATAATTTCATGTCTTGACTATTGACATTACTTCTTTGCTGATATTTAAAAAAAAATTTTACGAAGCAAAATTTGTAATCTTGTCTTTAGAAAATTTCCTAGCCGCAGAGATGTATGGCATAAAAATTGAACCATAGTTAAAATTGGTTCAGGCATCACTTTTACTGTGGTAGTAGACACAGCTAGCACACTGATTGGTGGTTACTAGTTTCCTACTTCCTAATGATATTATTTATTTGTTCTTTAGAAAAGTAACAAGTACAATTTGAATATATTTTTGGCTTCCAGGTTTTTCCTTAAGATCTGATGTTATATTAATGTTGTAATTCTCAAGCTCAGTTTCTCTTCTCAATCATGGGTTGATTTTTCTGGTGAAACTCTTCCATCCTGTTTATTAGGACAATATATTAGTTCTTCATAATGTTCTGTTGCTTGTTTCTTGGTTTTACATATTGTTATTTAGTGTTAAATCTAATCAAGGGGAAAATTAATTAATATCTATCAAAATATTATTTCTCTTAAATTTGCCATTTTAATTTTATCAGCAAAATGTGTTAATGACTTTTACAAAAATTATGAAAGACTTCTGTTAGTGTTAATAAGTTAACATACTTGGAGAGAGACTTAGAATATATTTAAATGTAAGCTTTTAAGCAATTTTAACAATATTATTTAAAATTGAAATAAGATAATGTAGGTGCAAGTGAGTAGAAACTGCTGCTTAGAGAAATGAAAGGACTTCTCCAAGATGACAATTGTAGTCTATTCTCGTGGCTATAACAGAATACCTTATACTGGGTTATTTGTAAACAACAGGAATTTATTTCTCACAGTTCTGGGACATCCAGACTGAAGGCAGCAGTAGATTCGGTGTTTGGTAAGGATTGCTCTCTGCTTCCAAGATGGCGCCCTGTCGCTGTGTCCTCCCATGATGGAAGGTGGGAGTGCAAAAAGAATGGACAGCTCCCTCACACCTCTTTTATAAGATCATTAATCCTATTTGTGAAGGCTCTACTCTCATGATGTAATCACCTCCTAAAGGCCCTACCTCTTAATGCTATCACATTGGCAATCAAGTTTCAACATTCAGACCATAGCAGCAATGACACAGATAGCTGCTAAGATTTCATTCTTGTTCTGATATTGTTTCTTCCTGCTCACACATCCTCTTCAAATAAATATATGTCACACACACCACACCACATATAGAATGCTTTCTACTTCAGTGATGATGGAAGATAACGTACCTGTTGCTTGTCTGTTAGAAAAGTATACTGCAGTGGATTAGATTTAAACTAACAAGACAGGGAAATTCATGAACAAATTTGGTCTGGCTTGCTGAAAAGTGCTTCTTGTGGGATTGCTTTACTGTTCAGCAATGTGTCATAAGCAAGCTTTATCCAGATGCAGTGTCACTCAGGACAGCTATTTTTACTCTTGAATAAGCTCACCTCACAGGATTATGGTGGTTCCCATAATTATACTGAAAATTTTTATCACTAAGGCGATCTGTCTTCCCAAAGTTTTTCTTCTGAACTTAGGGAAACTCTGTGCATATGTATTTGTGTGTGTGTTTCGGTTGGGGGTGCAGTTAGAGAAGTAAAGTGGGTAGGGTGATGGCTATTTCTCCACTCTAGTATTAACCAGTGTTTCCATGAGCCCTGAAGGTTCTAAGATGCTTACAAAATTTGAGGGAGTTGCAGAATGAGAGTCAGGACACATAACGCAGACATGTAGAGTACGTAGAGTGCATCAAAATGAATAAACGAGATCAAGCGTCGTGTGTGTGCATTTGGCATAACATCACAGGCAGTTCTCTCTGCCTGAGAAGATTAAGGGAAGTCAACCCCAAGTCATGGCCTCAAGTTATGCAACACATTTTTCTTTTACATACAATTGTGTCAGGGTTTCATTTTGACTCTAGAAGATCAGAAATGATCATTTTTGGCTAGCAACCATAATCTGTCTCGTTCCCATATCTACACAGCTGGCCCTGCTGTATTTTGAGAGGTTTTGGGAATGGTTTATGCTCCACCCTTGGCTAGAATTATGTTATCTTGTCTTAAGTGTCTAAGTGTGACTGATTTGTATTTGAATATATAAAAAGTCTGGGCT